TATTCAGTTTCATAATTACCTCGTAATTATGTACCTGCACATTTCACATTTAATAGTCCCGAGAACTAGCTTTCAGTATTTTTTTTTTTTGCTTCGATTACTTCAACAAACAATAAATATGTACATTCAAAAGTAATTCATTGAGCATTAATACCCACACAAACGTCATAAATATAAATTTCCAAAGAACTAATTAAATAATGTATTAATAACAATAAATTGATCGATAGATATCTGTGGCTACCGGATTGGCACATTCGATTCGTTAAAATATTTTTATTAGATTTATTGCAACACAATGTGTCTTAATGAGATCCCTTCGTCCTATCAGAGATTGTTGAAATATCTAACGTTTTTGCAAACCCTGCTCAGGCTCGTCTTTTTTATTGTTTTTTAATATCTAAGTTCTTGGTGTGGTGGGAACTAGTCGGTAGACTATGTATGTTGCTAGTAGGGAATCTTGTGAGCACGATTCCGTAGCCTTTTCTTGCATACGAGGCAATCAAAACAATTTCGGTATTCGAAGCTCTCAAATTTTCAGCTCCAAACTGCATTATTTTATCTCCTAGCTGAACATTCAACACAAGCTGAGACCTAAACATACAAGTATATTTTATGAAGGATCAAGGATGGGTCAAATGAAAAATAAACGTTACAATTGAATTTTAATATATTAAATCATTTTCATGTATAAATATGTGTCTGTCCTACATTCGTATCTAATAATACTACGCTTAAATACTAAATAGTTAAAGATGGCGTTAAAGAGAACGTTCTCGAAGCCGCGTTACCGTTAATACTTTTACTTTTAGTAAGATTGTATTTCGGGAATCAGTAAGGTAACAGAACGACGGCACTCCGTCGCGTAAGCCCGAGGTGACTGACCTCGCGCGTCATCTGATTTTTAGGCTGCGTTACATTGCGCGGTATTCGGGAAACAATCAGTACTTACAAGTTGTTTCCTCGATCGTGTTATGGATCACTTATGCATTCGAGAACGACTCCAACACCCCCTATATGAATACAAATACATTTTACGTTCGTCATCAAAAGCTGAGTAGAGACAATATCATATTGTTTTTGTTAATTATTCGAAAACAGCTATTGAGCTTCTTGCACAGAGAACAAAAGTAGGTAATATTCGATCGTTAAAACGACATATATAAAAATCGTGACACACATAATATGTATATTGGGTATATAATATAGTGTTACTGTAAATTAGTTGTAACTAGCACGTTTTATGCGCAGTACTTTTTATGAATACACAAACACTGGTTTGGCACTGATAAGTTCACTGATAAAAAAAATACCTGTTTTGTTTTTAGACATATACATATTTGGCGTAAATTCATATAAATTTTAAACATTTTTTTTTATTGTTTCAAAGAAGATGAATTTCTTGTGCGATTCGTGTATGTGTGTGTGTGCGTGAGTGTTTTTTTTTTTTAATTCTTTATGTTTGACATTTTTTTGCGTACTACGACTAGTAATTATTCGTTGTGCATAATATTAGAATAAAATTAACCCTTGCAATAAATTTTTATAGCCTAATTAATTTCTTTGATGCATTATGTACGTCTTGAATATTACATTCACTGCACATACTCCAATAATCTGGACTGTGGCCTTGGTATTCCTGATATCCAGAATTCATATTAAGCTCCTGCCGTACCTAAGGTAATGAAGAAGAAATGTGACATTTAAAAGCAAATTGACATGTAACCAGAGTAACTTATATATGTATTCTGTTGACACGAAAAATATTAATTTTATTCATTATAATAATGAATCATTTCGTTAAATATTCTTGTTTACATATTACTAAATTCTTGGTTAAGCACTTCTGTCATACTGAAACTGTCCACATTATCATTATTTGAATAGAATATTTAATACCATGCAACTTTAAGTTGCACAGAAAATTACGTTTGTGTGAACAAAAATAAATTAATATGTCGTAAAACGTAACGAACAATTAGTGACATCTTATAATAGCAGCATAACTAATATAATAACAAAAATATACAATATGGCCACCAGTTGAAATCCTTTGGCCATATTTTTTTATAACCTGGCAATAATGTATGTAGTTCAATTACCTGTGTTCCAAGAAAAAAATCCAAACTACGACATATTGAATAAATAAAATAAAAAATATATATCACTGTCAACTGTCTTGCGTTACAAATTTTATTTGACAAACTTTAATGTGCTATCGTATGAATATTGTGTTTTCAATAAAAATGAAATTAAATTTGTGTTGACATATTTTTTTCAGTTTTTTGTTGGATCAAATTTCGAAGTACAAATTATTTGCGTAAAATTATAATCTTAATGTACGTAATTTACAAACACTTTTATGTATTTTTTTTTTTTAATATTATTATCAACGAGATTACAACATCTGTCAGGAATGGCTTGGGACATATTTAAGTACATATATTAAATGACACACAACTATCGACATAAAGAGCACGAATAAATGAATTATAAAATAAATTCCATTAAAACTTAGTTAACCGAAATACTATAGTTTTACTATATCAATATAATCATGCTATTTTTGATGTCGCATTAGCGTATAATGAATTACAATGAAGAAATCGTTTTAGCATTCAAGTGTATACCAATAAAACACGAATGAAAAAGTAACTAAAATTAATGATTTATTACTTCTAATAAAAGTATAATAATATATAAATTATTATTCTGATTGTCGGATAAAATGTAATATATAAAACCGATTTATTTTTTACATTGAGCCATTGTTCAGGAATCAAATCTTGCTTGAGTAATGAAAATCATCAATAGTAACTTTTACAAATATTTTTTGTGATCCTTATAAATCTCTAGAGAACTGGTGGTAGGACGCAATTATTATTTGCGTAATTACTGGTGGTAGGACGTCTTCTAAGTCCACAAGGGTAGGTACCACCACCCTGTCTATTTCTGCCGTGAAGCAGTAACAAGTTTCAGTTTGAAGGATGGAACAGTCGTTGTAACTATACTGAGACCCTTAACCCTCAGAAACAGCCCACAGAGTTTCTCGCCGGATCTTCTCAGTGGGTCGCGTTTCCGATCCGGTGGTAGATTCTGCGAAGCACGGCTCTTGCTAGGGTTCGTGTTAGCAACGTCATCAGGTTTGAGCCCCGTGAGCTCACCTACTAGTTAAGGGTACGCTGGAATAGCCTCTCAAGGCTACCAGATTAGGTAGGAAAAAAAAAACTTAGACCTTAGAACTTATATCTCAAGGTTGGGTGGCGCATTTACATTGTAGATATCTATGGGTTCCAGTAACCACTTTGCACCAGGTGGGCTGTGAGCTCGTCCACGCATCTAAGCTATAAAAAAAGAACCAAAAATAGTACATATGTATTTCCATACAAAGTACTTAAAAAATTTGATAATTGACTACATTGATAACTGATACATTCCATACAAGAAAATATTATGCAGGTTGAAACTTGACAACATCAAATGGTTCTATTTCGAATAATGATATATTTTAGCTATCTGGATCGAATTTATTTAAACTTAATAATTTTTGATTGGCTGCGTAACCCAAAACGCTTAGTTCACTGATTTCTGACGTCATAAGTCAGTATAAAGATTACTGCTCGCTGATGATATTATTTTATCTGTATAAACAGAATTAAATGGCCTCACTATTCGGCTTTTACGGAAAAAATAATAGGAGAATTTCCCTGAAAATGGAATAAATCCACAATAACATCGTAGGTAAGTCTGTGATCACTATGTAATAAGAAATCTATGACGTCACAAGTCAGTAAGCAGACGATTATTTGTCAGATATTTACAAAAGAAGGCTACGTCAATAACCCAATGAATAATTTACTTTTGTCTAGTGAGTAATCTATTTAATAGTAAATGTTTAGAAGGATCTTAAAATAGCAATAGTTCTTTGAACAATATCACCTTAATACAGTCTGATTTGCATTTTTTTTGTTTATGTTTAGTAAAATTATAAAATACCTTTCTACGTATGACTAGTTCCTATAGTCCTTTTAAGAATATTAAAAATTAAATTGTTTTGGAATGTGATACGTGTCATATTATTATCTCAGCTATAGCTGCTTATACGTGATTAACGTTAACGTTTACCAAAACGATGATGTCCTGGGAGAAAATTTACGTTCTAATTATAAATCTAAACTAATATAAAAGCCTCAAAATTACTTAAGATTAATATGTTATATAAATAGTTTTAAATGCACTAGAAAATATTTAGTATTTTTTACGATCTTAAATAACAGAAGTGTCTTTTATTACAGGAATTAATTATACATATATTTTTATTATGATTAATAAGATGATTTCGGAATTAAATCAAATTCATAGTTTGAGAATTAAAAACTGAATGAAAATAATGTACAGTTTTTTTTTTATAGAAAATGTTTCAGGTATTTTTAACACACACGAGATTGTCTGCCAGATGATATAGATATCCCGATGTCAAATTAACAAACTTTCTAATATAAAATAAAACTTATCCTAAAACTAGTTTTCTACACGAGAGGGTAAGATATTATATACTCAAGCGCTAAAGCCAAAAATCGAATTTTCTTCTTATTTCGTAATTTTTCGTATTTTTATTTATTTTTCTCTGTGTAATACCGAAAAACTTCATTTAGAAGATAAATATGTAACACGAATTAATAAGACGATTCAATGATATCAATCGAAAAGTTCTCCAAAAGGGAAATCCGATATTTGGCTGCCGATAGAGATAGAGAATGCGTTTGTAAAATACTTTAATAATTTACAATATGAAGTAGATTATAACCATTAAGTGAAACAAATAATGTTATTATGTACTTAAAGTAATGTCCCTTAAAGTTCGCTGTCACTAAATATCAGAGTTCGTTTACCTTTCGTGGTTATAAAAGATCTTACTGATACAATTATGTGATTATTATTATATTATATATATTGTATTTTCAGCAACAAACTTCTTTAAGTCGACGATTTTCCATTTGTCAGTAAAGTTCATTGAACGCCATCGGATGAGGAGTATGTACCCTCAAATCTTCAAGGGGCTGGAGAGGCTCCGAGAGGATCAGCGCGGTGGGTACTATACTTGGTGTTCCACCGTTACCAGGGACAATCGAAGTATGACCATTAACCCCGTTCGTTTCTTGCCTCATCATGTTACGTCGCCATTTTGCTCGCGCATTTTGGAACCAGACCTACGAAAATAAACGTAAGCTAAGATATATAAAAATATGCATCTTGCTGTAATGCAATAATGCGTACCAATTTGAAAGGCGTGACAATCGTCATAACTAATTGGAAACTTCCTCATCTCTTAAAGTTAGTAAGTAAAGTAACCGATAATAACATTTTTATGCTATGCGATTCCTAATTAAATGAAGTTTTGTAGGTAATCAGAGGATACATTTTTAAACTAATTTAATTATATAGGTGCCTACAACATATGCTACCGTTAAGGCCAGTGAAGGTACACAATATTTTGCTAGTACATTTTGAATGATGAGCCTGGAACTTTTTTATTATAATTCGAGGGGTGAAAGGCTATTTGGTTTAAGCGACATTTTTGCAATTTTACAGAACAGACATTTAAAGTTTAAAATTTGGAAAAGATATCATTACAAAAAAACTTGTTCAATGAACTAACTACTCGATACAACTCTTTGAATGAAGTAAAATTAATTGTAGTTCAATTAAAAATAACGAATTGTTAATGTTAATATGTACCAAATAAAATGCACCTTTAATTAGAAAAATAAATGTCGCGTAATTAAGCGAAATTTCGCTTAAACCAACTCTTACCCCTCAAATGAATTATACTGCATTCATCATCATCACCATCAGCCTTTATCTGCCCACTGCTGGACATAGGCCTTCCCCAATGCCTTCCACAGAATGCGGTTCTCCGCCTTCTGCATCCAACGACTTTCCGCCGTGCGCACTAATCATCAGTCCACCTGGTTGGAGGACGCCCCATGCTCCTGGTACCTGGACGTCCTAGGTACGACGTTAAACTTCCTAGTCGCCAACCCGCATGTCCAGCGTGGTGAGTTAAGGGCACAAACTTCCCAATGACAAGACACAGAATGCTATACTGCATTACGATTTTCTAATTTTAAGGCAGCACCATCTAACGGAGGGATGAGGAATCTTTTTCATAAATCGTGCGCCCTCAAAGGTTTTCACGAATTGCGTATTGCTTGTTATTACTTACAAAGCGTTTGCAAATAATTCTCTAAATTATCCGATAGATGATGTAGCCTTAAAATTTGGCATATTACTTGGACTTATTTATTGAATTTAAAAAATGAAATGTACCTAATAATTTACAATTAATAGTTTGTACCAAAATTTATTTATATTATACCATTTTTCATGTAATGTAACAATATAATATATTCGTTTCAGTGTGGTATTCGAGAATAAGCTGCTAAACTACTACTACCACTGTCATAAAAGTTTACTGAGCACAAACAGTTTAAATTTGTGTATATCGATCTTTTTATCTCTTAAAATCAAATATGCGAACTAAGCTTGTTGTAATTATAATTCATACACAAGTCGATAACCGTTGCCATTGAAATCATCGCATTTTCTGTAAAGTGAAAATATTGCACGGGCAACTTTGATTGATTCTTATAAACATTATAAAGTTGCGAATTTTCACAAAATTTTTAATCGACCGGTTTGTCGTTGATGATTCGCAGTCCATGCCGCCGCCGCGCGCGACAATAAAATTCACGACAAGTGGCCTCAAAAGGCGAGTCGTGATATTTTTATGATGTGGTCTTCGCTTAGGTAGGTATGCGTCAACACTTACCACAAAAAAAATATATATATGTAACTAGCTGTACCCGTCCGCTTCGTTGGGCATTTAAAATTAACATTATTATTTCTCACCCCCACAAAAATTCTCATCATTAACGCACCCGCAACTGATGTAGGGAGTCCAACACTCGTATAAATATTAGCCTATTCATTAAGTATATGTATTTTCTACATGGATACCAAGTTTCAAGTCAATCGGATGCATGGTTCAGTAGTTATAACGGAACATCCGTAAAAACCACGGTACATTTATATACTAGTATAGATTGCATTGAAAAAAAAACAGTGAAAGGGAAAGATCTAACCTGTAAGACCCTTTTCGAGAGTCCAGTCTTCTGGGCCAATTGCTTTAAGTCTTTCGCGTCAGGGTTCTGGTTGATTGCGAAGTAAGATTTCATGGTCCGTAGCTGGTGATGCTTGAAGCTGGTTCGCATTCGCTTGGTCCTTTGCGTGTGGCTAGAAACGCTCCCTGGAGAGGCCACTGAAGAATCATACGCCAGAGACTCCATGGATGAAGACAGATCGCCACGATGGAGGATTTCTATGGAAGTTAACTGGTAAATTTTGGAGGTAAACTTACAAGCTTTGTGAGCAGAACGCTCCTGATACAGGATAAGTTCGCAAATTTGCAGTACATATTATTATAAAACAACTTTTGTATCTTTTTATGTTTTCCGAAAAACGACAAACAAAATAAAATTCGCAATATTCGCTTAATATTATAAATACAAAATAAAAACTTTAAAATAAACAATTCAGGAGTCCGTACATATAAAATTGACAGAAAGAAATAAACTTAAGTGGTTCAATAACGTTATAACATCCTTATTACTTAATAAAATACTTCATAAAATTCTTTGTAAATTTCCAAATACATAGTATACTTTCCCTAACATTTAAACTATCATTGTATTTAAATTGAAACTCTAAATCCACAAGCACATAGATCTAAATAGAGTTTATGCAAGAAAGGAAATACGTTTCATTGCTGCAGTAATAAGGAGCTGTCGTACCGTGAAGCCACATCCTACGGAATAACTAACTCTCATAGACAGGATGCTTAATTGCTTATAAGTTTGCAGATCGGAGGCTGTGGTCTCGTGATCGTTGGACCGGATTATGATATAGTTTTTGCTAATGGGAACGTTTTTGCTGCAGAACCATTGCCGTGGTTCCGGGGTCTGATCGCGACGAAGTTAGTGACTAGAAACGAGGCGACAATGGCCAAAAGAACCGCTGATATTGGGCCACTCTTCAAAAAAATGAGAATATAATTTTTATCTGGCAGCTAGCTACTCGAGTAAACGCCACAAGATAATTTCTACGCGACGATCTCTTTGAATCAATAGAAACTCTTTAAAGTTCAAAGTCTGTATTTTGTACCGCATGTTCCATGGGGAGTGCTCTGAGGAATTGTTCGAGATGATACCAACGTCTCGTTTTTACCATCGCACCGCCCGNTCTTCAAAAAAATGAGAATATAATTTTTATCTGGCAGCTAGCTACTCGAGTAAACGCCACAAGATAATTTCTACGCGACGATCTCTTTGAATCAATAGAAACTCTTTAAAGTTCAAAGTCTGTATTTTGTACCGCATGTTCCATGGGGAGTGCTCTGAGGAATTGTTCGAGATGATACCAACGTCTCGTTTTTACCATCGCACCGCCCGTCACCGGAGTAGAGTTCATCCATACTACCTGGAGCTAATGCGGTCATCCACAGTGTGTTTCCAGAGGTCTTTTTTGCCACGTACCATCCGGCTATGGAATGAGCTCCCCTTCACGGTGTTTCCCGAGCGCTATGATATGTCCTTCTTCAAACGAGGCTTGTGGAGAGTATTAAGCAGTAGGCAGCGGCTTGGCTCTGCTCCTGGCATTGCTGAAGTCCATGGGCGACGGTAACCACTTACCATCAGGTGGGCCGTACGCTCGTCTGCCTACAAAGGCAATAAAAAAAATAAAAACTCAAAAACTATTTTGACGTAGAACAGAGAAGCCGGTAGTTCAATTTTTCTGAAACGGTAACGCGAATTTCATAAATCCCCGAACGGAGAATGCCACTTTATAACGTAACGTTATTTGGGGTCAAAATACATTATTATTCGTAATAGTATCCTAAAAAGATAGAAAGATAAATATAAGCCCAAATAAGAAAAATATAGGCCCAAATAAGCCAAAGACTTCGCTCCATTTTCTAACGGAAATTCGTTAAATCAACGTACCAAACCAATTAGTGAATAACGAAGTTGACGGACGGAAATATAATTTTATAAAACGGCTTTTCGATCAAACCAAGTGTACGCCGCTTACGTGGATGTCAAAACAAATAACTCGACATGATGAATGCTCCGATAATTGGAACTATATTTCGATCTAATAAGATAAAGACTAATAGACAAGCACACTCATCATAACCAATGGTTTATAATCTATTAATTTGTGGCCTCGAACTTGGGTGGTTGCACCCAACGGTGCAAATCGAACTAATTATCAAAATATACGTTTTTATTTTATTTTAATTAAGTGTATTTCGCTCGTGGGGTGTCTTGTTGGTAATTAATTTTTGTTGTTTGGTTCTGCTTTTATTCAATTCGGTGTGCTGTCCGTTAATCTCTCATATTAAATTATTTTTAATGGGAATAAATAGGGCACTTAATTTGATGGAGTGTGGTTTGAATTTTTTTTTTTCTTTTTTAATGTTTGTTCATCGAATTATAAGTACGATTTACGGGTAACAACTTCGTTCGTTTTTAGTATACTTTATTAAAGCCAAAACTAGCGCATCACAAGAACAGTTAGAACAGATAATTACGTGAGTGTTTCTAAAAGACACGTTGACGATATCAGTTTAAATATTTTCTTAAAGAATTCTTTTAGATTCTCAACTTAATAGAGACGTGCATTTTAGAAGTTATAAAATGAACATTGTTTCTATGTATTTATTTTTCAAGTAATCATTACGTCTAATTTGAAGTATATTCACCTTACTAAGTAATCTGAAATATGAGATACATTTTGATATAGCCTGCAACGACAGTGTTTTGTGACCAAATATTTTATTGCATACCAAACATTCCGTTATATTTACGTGTATCGGAATCCAAGTTAATGGGGCCCGGCAACGAATCGATCACCGCATTATGTACATGTTTTTCTTTTACAATCAAAATTAACATGTTACTGTATTAGAAAATTAAAAAAATAACTTCTTTGAAGTACTGCAATAAACCAAACGTGTTGTAAAAGCTTCGATATTAACCATTGGTTATAAAAAAAATAAAGGAGCCACGGAGTTGTATATGTGTTTTATTGCAGTTGTAGGCGCCGTTTCTGACGGCTCTCAAGTCAAGCGATGTAGCGGATGACAAGATTAACTGCTCTCGAGTCATGAAGTAAACAATAAATATTCAGCTCCATGACTACAGCAAAGAAAACAGACGGTCGACAAATAGGAAAAAAAATTCTGCACATTATATTTTGGTATTTATTTTTAAATAAAATATAATAAGGGTAAATCCGAATGTTTTTTATTCATACCATTAAATCTTGTTTAAAGCAGTAGCGGTAGAAACAAAAAAAAAGAATATAATCGGTAGACTAACTATACGGTTAAGATCCGAGATATAGAATATTATGCATAATATTATAATTATAAGCTTAAAAAACTAAATAATGTTTTTACATTAGATACAGATAGAATCTCATTGATTCTTATTCTTCTTACTGGTGGTAGGACCTCTTGTGAGTCCGCACGGGTAGGTACCACCACCTCGCTTATTACTGCGGTGAAGCAGTGATGCGTTTCGGGTAGCCATTGTAACTATACTGAGACCTTAGAACTTACAACTCAAGGTGGCGCATTTACGTTGTAGATGTCTATGGGCTCCAGCGACCACTTAACACCAAGTGGGCTGTGAGGTCGTCCCCCCATCTAAGCAATAAAAAAAATTAGAGGCTCACTGAATATAATAAATTTTATTTTTAGGTTTTTTTGTTTATTATACGCAGTCGAAAGTTTATGTAGTGCACCAAACACCAACAATAAAATTTCGGAGCTTGTAAAAAGATACTTCATCTGAAGCGAAAGCTGCTATTTTGGTAGATACCTAATATATTATTTGTTGTAATCAAATCCAGGCGGCTGTAATAAAACTTAAAAATCTCACAAACGCTAACTTCTTTCTTTGAGCTCTGGACACATCTCATTTACAATTGAGCTTTGTACGCGGCTTTTAAATCGGCGAACTTATCACGCATTACATATCAACTAAATTTAAAACAAAAAAGAGACAATAAAATGCATAAATAACTACATCGGAACCCATAAATTGATATCATAAAAACCAAATTAAAGTATAACAAAAAAAAACCTCACTAAATCGTTACGAAGAGGCGGTCAATCAATTTCCACAAAAAAAAAAAGTATAGTCAACAGTTTAATACCTATATCCGAATCTTAATCACGAACAGACGTCTAATTAAAATAAATATGCCTCAAAAGACAAACCACCCTCGACCCCAAACACACCCTACGTAATAAACGGCGGTGTGCATTTACAACCGCTGTTTCGTAAAAAAAAATCATTTTTTTGAACCTGTTCTCACACCTGTCTTTTTAAATAACGTTTCATTAATTGCAATTATCTTTCGGGTACAGAAAGACGACTTTCTTTATTTCTCGTATCTTTTGAGCAATGCCTTAGTGATCTTATATCTTTAAACGAGCAGTTCTTGTTTTAAAATATATAATAATATATAATCTGAATCTCGGAAACGGTTCCAAGGATTTTCATAAAATTTAGTATACAGGGGATTTTGGGGGCGATAACTCGATCTAGCTACGATTTACGTAAAATGTTGTTTTCAACTTTATCGATAATCAGCTTAATCATAAACTTTTTTTTTATTGAAGGAAAATAACAAATAATAATAATATAATATCAATATGTAATTCGTATTTAAATATAATTTCTAAAAAACAAAATTTATAAAAAAAAATCGTTCATCCTCTAGTGATCAAATATGATAACGAAGCGTAATAAAAAAATACTGGAACAATAGGACAGCTACGTGGTGGTGCTGGAACTCACCGGTAGTACTCATGAGGAGAAGGAATGCTTGCACCAGCACGCAGCATACCGAAAGAGAGGCAAGTAAAGAGCTCGCTACATCTAGTACACTCATGCCATTCGTTTGCCGTTAGATATGCAGCCATTATATAATAGCGTTTGTGGCGGGTAGCCATTACACAACACAAGATATTTGACAGATGCCTGAATTTCTCTTACGTCATTGTCAAAATAAACTAGCATATATACAAGTTCCGAACAACAACATCCACTGAAGAAATCTCAGTGCATGACCACCATTTTACTGAGATTACATTTCATCCCATATCATCTTATCTCATTTCGTTTAACTTTATCCCAGTCGATTAATGTCTCAAACTATTCTTCTTCATTTCCTCATTTCGTTTCATTTAATTTCCCTCCATATTGTCATTTTTCATAAAAATAAGAATATAAATTAAAATAAGACATG